ATAGCAACATAAAAACAGAGTGACAACTTAAAGCAGTGTGGTTACATAAAACAGTGTAGCCACATAAAATGTAACAATTTAAAGCAGTGTATCAACATCAAATGTGCTTATTTAAAAAAATATGTACGCAGCGAATTCTGATTATTTTAAATAATCCTTGTTGTGACAAATGATTTTATTGTGGTTTGTATCTTTACCGATAAAATTTTGTATACTGAACTGCGTTTTTTTTACAGCCTAACTTCTTTTCATTAGTTGATTTTATAGAATAATTAGTTATTTCATAGAAACGATAATATAAAGTAGTTATCAATGCACTCGACCTTTAACTGACTTCAGCCATTATTTCATGAAATAGCTAAATATTTTATGAAATAATTATGCAATTTAACGTCAACATAGCTTTTGGAGCAGCTTTTCTCAACAGACTTACGATTACAAATAAATATGCCTTTTGCTAATGTTACGATAAAATGACTATGGCTTGTGGCGATGTATTTGAGTATAAATAAAACTCCGAATAGAATTCAGAGAGCTTCAATAAGTAAACCTATCAAATAGCTGCAGTTGATAGGATTGATTATATTTCCTTTTATTTCAGCTGCCAACCATTCATTACAAACGTATTATGAAATATTTTCTTATTTTTCATGAACAAAATAAATTTGCTTATTTTTTATGACAAACAAAAAACATTTTCTTCAAAGAAAATAATTTTATTATCTTATGAAAATAAAAGTTATTAAGTATTGAAATAAATTTTTAAGGTTTTCTGATTTGATATAAATGAGCACATAATGTTGCACATCACATTGAATCAATCAAAGATAAAAAAAAAAAAAAATGTTTTAACTTGTGAATAGATTCGAAATATCTCTAAAGGTCATTTAATATGTTCTTTTATAATTCTTTTAATTTTAAAACTTTTCTATTTCAATAACTTTTTTACTTTAAATTCGTATATTTTTCATACTTATTCCCTAATGGGAAATCGAATATTATGTATCATTCCCTAATGAAAATTCGAATTTTTTATGCTATCCCCTTGTGATTACAAGGGTTTTTAGACAACAAATCCCAAAGAGACAACATTAGTTTATGCTACAATCTTTAAGAATTCCGAAATCGTAGTGTAACGGCATAGCTTTGAAATTTGTAACTTTTTATAATAGTTCAGTTACAAACATTAAGAACAATTCATTATAATTTTATTTATATACTATTCTAGTAAAATATAATGGTAAAAGAAATTTGATCAATGAATTGAATGTATGATCTTAGTATATGATGTTTACGAGAGTATGATAAATGATAATAGCTTGGAGCATTAGGAATTTCTTTTTTGAAATAGAAATGTCTACGAAATTCGTGAATGGGAATGTCTTGTAATGTCACGAGGCTGTCTAGACACCTCGATCACTGCCACATGAACAGAGGAATCCAGGTTCTTTTACAATAGGACTGTCCTGAATATCATCCCATATCATATAGGACACTGTCCTGAATATCATATATAATTTGACTGTGGAACCACTGACAGTTCAAAATTTTGTCCTTGATTTAAAATAACAGTTAGTTTATGACAATTTTTTAGTTAGGTAATTGACCACGTAAAAATAACTTGTTATACACAAGCATTTAACAAGTATTTCGTGGAAAAAAATATCGAAACTTTTATTCATTGTTTTGTTTTAAAGGTCAGACCTTTAGTTTTGTTTCTAGAGTCATTGGAAGTGGAGAAGTTGGGATACAGAATTCACACATTCAAAATATTCAGTTGAATTTCTGAAAAACTATTTTTTAATATACAGGATATACGATAACAATCATAAGTGTTATGATAGTTTTCAGAATCTAATAAAATTTTAACTGTATATTTTCAATGATGTTATATATATGCTTTGAACTGAAAGGTTATAAATATATTTAGTAATTCGCATTTCTGTTGTAAACATTAAAATTTTTCTCTTGCAGTTTTGCTTTAAATCACTCGATTGGCTATCACTCAGCTATACTTTAAAATAGTATCAATATTTTAGTTCAATGCATGCCTGCATAGATGCAAGTCAATGTGATGTGTTTTACGTATTTTTTTCAGTTAGTAGCATTTATGTAAAGTTTTTATTCATTTTTGTCAAATTAAAAAAAAAAAAAAATACACGTTTTTGTTCACTTTTAATTAAAAAATTTTTTGTTTTGTTCATTTCAAATAAAAAAAATACACGTTTTTGTTAATTTTTGTCGAATTAAAAAAATTCCACATATTCATGCATGTATTTTACTTTTCATGTGTGTCAACATTCTATAAACTAAATTAATAACAGTACAGAAATATTACATGAAACAATGAATACCTTTTTTGCTCTGAACATGAACCATTATCTTATTAAACATTTAACAGAGTTAATCCATGCATAATCCTCAGTCAAATCGCCACATTTTATGGCGAAGCATTAATAAGCTATTTTTTTTGGGGGGGAAGGGGGAGGGGTTGAACCAGGGTTGACTGTACTGTGCATAACTTCCAGTTAATAAATAATTGCATTCATTTCAATGTAAAAATCATTCATTAATAAAACATAAAGCATATTCTACGCCCATATTGTTGAATGCACCAAATACGTAATTGCAATTTTTTCCCGCCTATTTAATACTCCATTTCCATCAACCTCTCACGAGATAGCATTATGAATAAAAACCATTCCAAAGGACCGCACTTCACACCAAAATTAATTCATCAACTCCTCACATTACACACACAAAACCCCTAATCCAAAAGTGGCAACCCAAAACCACACGGAAGCACCACATCCCATCTACTATGTTATGGGTTCTTACGACTTATGCACATTTTCCATATTGCATATCATCCCAGAAAATACTTCGTAATCGTAACCATAATCGTTCCACCGCAAGACGAATCATAAGAACAACAATAACAAAAAAAAAAAAAAAAAAAAAATGAGAGAGGGGGCCAGCACGCATACATGCATGCATGCATACAATCATCACTAAAGCACGAAACTATCCAATTTCCTATATGGCAAATCGTTTATGCATGGCCTCCTGTGTCTGGGGTGGCACGAACAAAAAAAGAACGGATTCGAGTTATGAAAAAGAAAAAAAAAAGAATAAAAAAAAGAACAGAAAGGCCATTCCGTGATATTACTCTGGGGTTGACAAACAAGTGGCCGGCGATGCCCCCACAGGACGGGGGCGCTGAGTCACGAGAGTGATTAAAGATCCCCAGAGTCCCCCCCACCCCTGCTCTGGATGTTGCTGCTGCTTCATTCAGAGAATTCTCCCGATTCAGAACCACCCGAGGGGGCCTTCCCCAAATTGAATCTTGTCTGACGCATCTTTTTTTGATTTATGATCAAGTGCTTCAGAATCAGAAGAGGATTAATCTGATAAATTTTTTATTATTGGAAAGTCCTCATGCTGAAGTCCTTGCAAGAGTTGGTGTTCGTTCAGAGGATGAACATTAATTTTTTTTTTACAGTTTTTAATTTAGAAGACAGTGATGTCCTTGTATTAATCTTATATAGATCTATTATTGGTTAATATTAATTTTTAGAAGAAGAAAAAAAAAAGAAAAAAGAACTTGTCACCTTAAAAGAAGTTGCTGTCAAGTTTTACATCAATATTTAATAGATACATTCGTGATTATATGTTCTACTGTCTTTTCAGATTTTGAAATAAAAAATTTGCGTAAATAAGAAATTTTCATTAACAATTTGCATAAATAAAAAAATTTCCTTGCGGTTTGTATAAGCAAGAAGTTTGGATTAACAATTTGTATAAATAAAAATTTTCATTAATGGTTTGTATAAATAAGAAATTTTCATTAACAGTTTGTATAAATAAAACATTTTCATTAATGGTTTGTATAAATAAGAAATTTTCATTAACAATTTGTATAAATAAAACATTTTCATTAGCGGTTTGTATAAACAAAAATTTTTGATTAACAATTTGGATAAATAAAAAATTTTCATTAGCGTTTTGTATAAACAAAAAGTTTTGATTAACTATTCGTATAAATAAAAAAAAGTTCATCAGCAGTTTGTATAAACAAGAAGTTTTGATTAACAATTTGTATAAATAAAAAAATTTTCATTTGCGGTTTGTATAAACATGAAGTTTTGATTAACAATTTGTATAAATAAAAAAAATTTCATTAACAATTATGTTTTCTCTTTAATTTAATGCTAGAAAATAAGAGAAAAAATTTTAAGCATATTATTTTTAAGAAAATTGTCATTTTTTGACATTAATTCAGCGAGCTATGAGGTAAAATTTGTTTCATTTAATAAAAAGATTTCAATTATTTTTTTATTTAAAAGATTTCAACTATTATTTATTAGTTTGTTTTACAAATTATATTTGAAAATAACTAATTAAAAACCATCAATGCATTGCACAGATATTATGTAAATAGGTCGATTATATTTTATTCAGTTTTATAAGCGAGATACATTATACATTCTTTTACTTTCTAGTTTACATAGATGAAAATATTTTAAAACAAAAATAACATTTTTTTTTCTAACATGCTATCATGCGATAGAAAAAAATTAACAAATTATGATATTATTCAAAAATATTTGCAAGTAAAACACACAGCCTATACCTATACAAATTATACTTATTAATCATTATTATACTTAACTTTATTAGTGAACTGAGTGTTTTTGATATGTTGTTGTTTCTTATTCCACTTGGCAGACATTTCTAGGTCAAGCCCACGAGCCCATACGTACTCATGATTGAAGGGGAAGGAAGCAGCTTCCTGTTGTGATGGAGCACCCGTAGGTAGAAGTCTGACTTTGGCTCCGTGATGCTTTTACAGTCATAGGAGGCCGGGACCTACGGCTTAAAGTGGATTCTGAACCACTACAAAACTCCACGGCACCGCCGGGATTCGAACCCGAAACCTGTGGCACCGAGCGCCAGAGCGCTAGACACTCGGCCATACAGGTCCCAAATATGTGAATGCCAACGGCACGCGGTGTTCCCAGGTGGTCACCCACCCAAGTACTGACCGCGCCCAATGATGCTTGACTTCGGTGATCTAACGAGAACCGGTATATTCAGCATGGTATGGCAGTTGGTTTTTGATATAGGCGATAACAGTACAGGAAAAATTCTTCAAAGTATTTAAAGAAATCTCCCGCGATTCCACATTCAGAATTTCGTTTCGGAAAAGATTTCTCTAAGATTCGTTCTAGATTTCTCGTTCTAGGTTCTCTTGATTTCGTTCGCAAGGACTTATTTCTAATATAAACATTTTATGATATCTTTAAAAATGTTATTTTTTATCTAATGGTAAGCAGTCCCATCAGAGAGGAAAGGTTTAACCAACTAAAACTCTGTCCTAGGCTTGTCTGTACTAGGCTTGTTTAATAAATATTTTTCATTCGAATCTGTATGCCAGGCTGCATCTGCATTTAGAAATTTTAAGTTTATTAACATTTTAAATTTATTTTAAATATTAAATATAATTAAAGAATCTCAACAGCTTTCTTTTACTATATACTAGTGCGAACTACTGTTCAACTTATAATGTTGTGTAAAATGGATTATTATTTGGATGGATGGTATATGGCTTATTATGTTGTATAAAATGGATTGCGGATGATAGTTTCGGCTTATACTGTGCAATATAAGTAAACTATGGGATGATGGATTAAGGCTTACATTTTATAATGTGGGCAAGAGCATTATTATTTGGATGGATGGTATATTGATTATTATTTGGATAATAAGCAATATACGTATATATATATATGGCTTATTATTTGGATAATAAGCAATATACGTATATATTTGGCTTATTATGTTGTGTAAAAGGGATTATAGATGATGGTTTCGGCTTATATTGCTCACTATAGACTATGGGATGAGGGATTCATTGTGTAATGTGGATAATAAATTATGTTGTGTAATGTGGATAATAAATTATGCTGTGTACTGTCGATGATTATTATATTGCGTAATATGAATTATTAGATGATTCGGCATTACAGATTCGGATATTAATAGATTATAGATTCGGTTTATTATGTTGTGGATTATTGAATGAGGGATTCAGTTTATGTGAAATTTGGATGGTGGAGACGGATTATTAAATTATGTATTGTGAATGATGGATACAAATAATCATTTTGTGTAATGCGAATGATGGATTCTGTTTATTATGTTGTGTAATGTGGATTATTGGATGATGGTTTTAACTTATGTTGAGTGATGGGGATTATTGTATGATAAATTTGGCCAAATATGATGGGAAATGTGGAATATTATTCGATTAATTATATTCGGCTTATTGAACCTTATTAAAAAAAATTAAATACTACTTTTTTCTGAACTAATTTGTTCAGTAATTAGTACAAATAAAAAAAGTAAGTCCTAAAAGATAGGTTTAAATTCTGGAACGTTTTGGAAAGTTTATAGTTGAAATGACGAAGAAAACATCATGCAATATTATTTAGTAGTACTTGTTCTCAATAATTGTTTTAATAAATATATTTATTTAAGTTAAAAAACTCCATTATAAAACTTTTAATTACTATCTTCAAATAATACTTTTGAAATATCTTTTTTTAAGTACAATATATTTTTTATATATATGATACAGAATGTTTTAGGAAACTAAAGACCTGTGTTATACTAGGATTATCTTTAATTAAAAAAAAAAGTGAGACTATTTTTGGATTTAATAATTATAATGTTAAAAATAGTAAGATTTGAATAAATCGCATTTAATATTATGATAAACAACTTTTATCAATGAAAATTACAGCCTACGCTTTTCAAAAACGGCATGGTGTTGATTCGCTACTAATTACTATAAAGCTAATTAATTAGATTTTTTTCAAAACTTTGGTTTCATCTTATAAAACAAAAATAAATGTATTAGAATAATTAAAATTAAAAATTTCGGAAAATTACTTATTGGGTTTTGAAACTAGCGGTATTATAAAGAAACAACATTTTCTATCTATGTAGTTATCAGGGGAGAAAAAAATAAAATTCTCGTCTAGACATTTAATTGAATAAAAATTCTTTTTTGAAGGAAAGTTATTATATTCAACCAAAACAGCTTAAAGAACTGTACATACATATTTCTCTTACATTTGTTTTTTTAATTCTGCGGTTAATTTTGTTGTACATTAAAATGCTTGAAAATGAAAGAATTATAACGAAAATGATGTTTACCATTTTGTCATGAATAGACAGTAATTAATGGATATCTTTGTAGAAATTTATTGATATCGTCTTGTAGCATTAAAGAACTTTGTAATTTATAATCATCCTTTCAACGCGAAGCTGGGTGTCGATGCTTGGGCTGTGAAACAGGGTTCTTAGATGAACTGTTACTGACGGAGTGTTATGATCTAATTAATTAGATTTTTTCAAAACTTTGTTTCTGTGTACATAATTTGAAAAGTAAAGTAAACTTCAAAAATAGAGGATGCGTTGCTGTTGCTAGAATTCTTTAACCCCAAAGTTACTGTTTTAAAAAATATTGAATTACCAAACCATCGAAATAGAGAAAGTGGCAGTGCTAAGAGTCATCAACTACACTTACAAACTACTACTGCTACCCCACACCACATCACTGTGCCTAGAGCTGAGTTGCTCCTTTACAGTTTTTGAATGATGGGGGGAGAAGAAGTCTGATTGGGCTTTGTGACGCTCTAGGGGCCTATGAGATCGGGATCTACGGCTTAAAGTGGATACCGAACCACTAAAAACATCCATAGCATACCCGAACCCGATATCCGGGGAACCGCTAGCCACTTGACTCTCAGGCCCCACTGCACTTACATAAGGATAAAAAATTTGATCAAGAAAGTCTTCTCTATATAACTGAACAGTAACGCTACTTCTTGAGACTATGCAAAGGCTAGAGTGGCCAACCAAAGAGATACTTGCATACACTGGACCCAACAAATGTATCTCTTACATGGTTACATAGGTCTTCTCTTACACTTATATGTCTCTATAATTTTACAAGACCCACCAAATCTATCTCTTTCCTGATTTGGTGGGGTGTCTCTTATACTTATATGTCTCTATCTCTTTACAAAACCAAACAATCTGGTTATTCCTGACACTGCTATTGCAATTTATTTCACATTGTTGGGGCAGTACTTCTCTGCAAAATTTTTGACACTCATACGTTTGGCCAAGAATTTGATGTACGTATTCCAAACAAAGGTTGTATACTGAAAAGCCCTACAAACCATCCAGAAAATGTGAATACGGCTTGTTTGGGCTTTGTAAGGTGGCAGTTTTATGCAATCCACCTATTTGGCCAAGATTTTACCACAAGCAAGTCGTATTCTAAGCAAAAATCTTACACTAAACATATTTTTGTGTCCACGCAGGGTTTAAGGTTCGAATCCCGGAGGTGTCATGGGTGTTTGTAGTGGTTCGGAATCCACTTTAAATCACAGGTCCCAGTTTCATATGACCATAGAGCGTCACAGAGTCGAATCAGACTTCTTCTCACACACATCATTCCCAAACTGTAGAGCAGGGCAACTCAACTCTAGGCACAGTGATGTGGTCTAGTAGAAGTATTAATAGTGGGACTTATTCCAAAGCTATCATATACCATTATAAAGAAAAAGAATTAAATATCAAAGAAAAGTTACTGTGATAAATGTTTTACACTTTAATGTTATGTTCTTAACCACCACCATAACCCATTACCCTTAATTGTAACCACCATTTACAAAGTTTAACCACTCATTTCCAGTTGCTCCTTACAAGGAAACAAAAAATGAAAGTGTCATCCTTAAAAAGCAAAATGTTTGGTTTACAGTTGTTTCGGAAAAGAAATAAACGTTTCTTCAAAGATTCCGTAACGACCGTCAATATGACAAAGTGCAGGGACATAAAAATTTTTTTTTTTTCGTCTTCTTGATGGTATCTTAGCTAGACCAATTAGATTAAAGTTGAATCATGATCTAGGTATTACTAAATTGGACCATTCATCTAAAACAAAATGGGGTCTGGCCACCATTTTCATTTTTTATTCTTCTTTTGTTGGTCTTTTTTTTTTTTTTTTTTTTTTTTTTTTTTTTTGTTGTTGTTCATCGCTCCCCCTCTGAAAGTATATCCCACGTTCCAGAAGAGTATTTATTAATATATGGTGTTTTTTTTTTGCCGTTGTTGTTGTAGGGTCTTCTTCCAAAAAATTTCGGCTTAATTTTATCTGACGCATGTAATAACGGATGTCGGATTTAATTTTTCAAGGGAAGAAGTTTTTGTTGCTCCAGGAAGGGGGAGGTCTGGATGATGCAGGATCGACAAATTGATTGGCGGAGAGGAAAATGTTGGCTCCGGTAATAAAGGAAATGGGAAGAATGGCTCACTTGATTATGTCTAGTCAATGAAAAAAGGAATAACACCAGTGGTTAACTGCTTCTTAATTAAATATGAAACTTGTTTGGGTTTTGCTGTTACCTAATTGTTATTATTATTTATTACACTTAATCTTATTAATGGATAAAAAAAATCATCAATATTGATACAACTCACAAAAAAAGTCAGTCATTGTTATTATAAGAAATGCTCTACATTTAATTTTTTTTTAATTTAAAAATTGATATTCTGCTCTACAATATCATAAGAAGATCATTTACTACTAGAACAGCAAATAGTAGATTCAGCGTTACTCAGAACACATCCCTTTACCCTTATTTTGCCTCTGAAATTTTAAACCGTAAAGATGGCATCTAAAGAATTTCATTCATCCACATCTCTTCTTCAAGCCTAAAGGAAGGACTTTCGACCAACTGATTTAATGTACCCATTCTCTGTCTAGACACATAAGCTTTTATATGTTGGGTTTATTTGCGGGGTTTTGAACCCACATTCCCTATCATCACATGAAACTCAAAGCATTTCCATTAAGACACTCATATGTAAAATAACCCCTACATATGTTTAGATGAAATAGTCTTTATTTATAAAATAACCCTTATACATTCTTTCCTTATCACCACGTACATTAACTAAAACAATCCTTATATATATATATATATATATATATATACTTAGATAAAATAACCCCTATTAACCTTGAGTTCCA